ATGTGTTGCATTAAGCATTTCTGTATATTTAGGATCATGCATGATTTCTAATAAATTCCTATTTTGGCTTGGAGTACTCGGTAAGTTCTATGCTTTAGCATCCTTGCATGCATGTGAGTGACTGCCATGAATAGCATGCTTGCCATGAGGCTAAATGCTTATGTGATATAACTGCCTGATGCCTGTGGGTGAAGGTTGGGTTATCTGAATTGGAATAAATCATCAAATGTTTCAGCCTACCTGCGGGTAGCAAACCATTTTCAAAAACAAGCATGAAATGTTTCGTTTCAATTCGGGTGACCCGGTCTATACTTGTATGCTGTGCGCATCACATAGTAACCTAGGCTAATAACCGGAATAAGAACTCGCAATGTTTTCAAAAATCGATATCATGGTTAGTAGAGGCCGGTCTATGACCGGGCGAGCGGGGGTGCTCACGAAGTGACCTTCCCAATCGTACCCAAGTTCCCGAGCCGAGGCAACTTTGGTGATGACGGACACGTGGCCTTTTGGCACGAGTCAGGGTTTCCTAAATTCCCCCGTTTTAAAATATTTAGGTGGCGACTCTGTATCTGGAAAAGCAGTCCATGTTTGGCACTTCTTTCAAAAATCTATTTTCTCAAAACGATTTGCCGGATTTGGACTCTTTGGTTCAGACTTAGAACCGTGACTACGAAAAGTCGAGTCCGAGCTGTAGCGAGGTCCCCCCGCGGGCTTGTTACATAGACCTTATTAGTTCAAAAAATCTTAAATTGGACTTGAATTACCATAGCATTCATAAATATGACTTTTAAATAATTAACCCTTAAAAAAATAATTAAGTGATGTTTTGATTTTTGATTTTAATTTTTTTAGAAATTAGAAACAAAAAACTTGTTTGGCAACCATCTTGGGCCATCTTCCACCGTTCACCCCCTTCGACAACTTATCAAATATATATATTTTATTTATTTTTCATAATATTTTTATATAGCAAATAATTAAAAAAAAATTATTTGCTGATAATAAGAAGAATGGGGAAATTTTTTTTTTAAAGTCTCTGATATTAAGATTTTATAGCATAAAGGACATCAAATATTTTCATGATGTCTAAGGTCCCTCAACATCGATCCAGAGAAATTTCAGTCATAGAGAAATTCTCTCTAGAGAAAATTAAAATTCTCTCCAGAGAAAATCTTTGGGTTCAAACCAGAGAAAATTGAAATTTCTCTGAGTACCAAAGAAATCCAAAGAAAATTGTAGAGAGAAAATTTGTGTGGCTATCTAGGAAATTTTTCTGACTTCATAAATTTCTCTGGCTTTATTTACAAAGAATTTCTTTGACTTTGTGTAATATGTATGTCAACAATACAATCTTTACTAACAAACCCACAAATTTCTCTGGTCCAAAACTAGAGAAATTTTCTCCAAACTAGACAGATCAGAGAAATTCTCTAGATTAAAACCGGAGAAATTTTCTCAATTTGCAGCAGAGTTGTATTTTTATGAACAAACCTTGGTGATTGTACATTGATCCAGGAAATTTCTCTGACTTCACAAATATCTCTGGCTCTATTCATAAAGAATTTCTCTGACTTTGTGTAATATATAAGCCAACAATACAATCTTTACTAACAAACCCATAAATTTCTCCGGTCCAAAACTAGAGAAATTCTCTCCAAACCAGACTGATCAGAGAAATTCTCTGGGTTGAAACCAGAGAAATTCACTCTATTTGCAACAGAGTTGTTTTTTATGAACAGACCTTGGTGATTGTACATTGATCCAGGAAATTTCTCTGACTTCACAAATTTCTCTGGCTCTATTCATAAAGAATTTCTCTGACTTTGTGTAATATATAAGCAAACAATACAATCTTTACTAATAAACCCATAAATTTCTCCGGTCCAAAACTAGAGAAATTCTCTCCAAACCAGACTGATCAGAGAAATTCTTTGGATTGAAACCAGAGAAATTCACTCTATTTTCAGCAGAGTTGTTTTTTTACATTGATCCAGGAAATTTCTCTGACTTCACAAATTTCTCTGGCTCTATTCACAAAGAATTTCTCTGACTTTGTGTAATACGTAAGCCAACAACACAATTTTTACTAACAAACTCATAAATTTCTTTACTTACCATGAACATTAATCCAAGCAATATACATATATCTAAAGAATTCTCTGGACTTTTTAGAGAATTTCTCTCCAGAGAAATTCTGGGAAGGCTAGAGAAATGCTTTGGATTCCAGTCTAGAGATTTTCTCTGAATTTTCTCTGGATTTCAAGTGAACCATAAAGCATAAAGTTTGTTTGGTTGCCAAGAAAAGTAGACAAAAAATAACATGTTCAATAAAAAAACACATAAAAAGTATAAAATAAAAGTGTGGAGAAATTTGTAATAATTATAATTTTCTCTGGATTGTAATAACAAGCTCTGTTTTCCAACATATATACATATATATATATATATATATATATATGGATCTATAAATTTCATTAAGGACCAAGTCCAGGTGTTGAAAAAGCTCTGTTTTGCTCTGCAACTGAAATCAATGGAGTTTGTTTGGGCATAATTGTTAATATTATTATTTGTTTTCTAGTTTCTGTTTTTCCTGAAAGTTGTCACACAGGATTCTTACCATCGACCAACCCAACCTTTCTCTCTCTCTAGTCTTTCGCTCCAGTGAAGGGATCATCAAACTTAAATTCTCTCGAAAGAGTTAGCGTTACGAAGACCGGAATTTTCAATTCCAAACGCAGTAGCAGCGAAAAACTGAGAGATTGGTTCGGTGGAGATGTAGAGAATAGCAAAAAGAGAGGATGAGAGAGAGATTTCTTAATATCAAATTTCTCTATAATAGATGGGTGTGGGTTAAGGGACCTTAGACATCAAAAAATAATATTGTGGATCTCTTTTATTACCAAAAATGAGAGAGAGACCTTAGACTAATTTTCCCTAAGAAAACAAGAGGCGAACAATGTTAACTATCGAAAGCCAACTTTTGGGCTAATAAAAAATTCACTTTTTAAAGAATTTTTCAATACATTAATTTTATTTTAAATTCTAAAAAACCAAACAATAGCAATAAAAATAAGAGAAAATTGGTAATAAATTCAAATTGAGGAGGGTGTAAGGGATTGGGTCCAGTGAATATTTTTTATTGGTGAAAAATCTTCGTTTTGGGAAGTAGTTTGATGAGAGGTCCTAGAAAATATTTTGTTTTCAATTTTACCTTTTGACATTTTTTTTTATCTGTTTAAATTTATATATATCTGTTCAAATTTTTTATTTATCTTTTCAAATTTATATCTATCTGTTCAAATTTTTTTGACAATTTATTCAATTTTTTCCTTTATCTATTCATTTTTTTTCCTAAATTCTATCTATCTGTTTAATTTTTTCTCTAAATTCTATATATCTGTTCAATTTTATATCTATCTGGTTCAGTTTTTTTTTTTCAAATTCTATCCATCTATTCAATTTTTTCCTAAATTATATCTATCTGTTTAAAATTTGTGTCAAGTATTTATTTATATGTTGCAATCATCATCATTATCATCAACATCAACATTATTTTTTTTTTCTAAATCTGTCTCATATGTATATATAATCACAGATATACATACATACACTCATACACTCACAGATATACATATATATATATATACACACTCACTCACAGATATACATACATATGCTCACACACTTACAGATATGCATGAATACACTCACTCAAAGATATACACTTATACACTTATAAATATACATACATACACTCACATACCGATATATATATATATACATACACTTACACATTTAAGCTATACATGTATATATACATATATGTGTGAGTCATATATATATGCATACACACACACACACATACGCACACAGGCGCGCACACACACACACACACACAAACAAACATATATATATATATATATATCCACATATACATACATACCTACATACAGAATGTATGTCTATGTGTATGTATGTATTTATCTTGTGCGACGATTGTTCAACGCCATTAACGACGGAGGAAGAGCAGAGCAGCGGTGATACTAGATCTATTCACTACGCAACTAGATCTTGTTTGGCAATGGTTAGATCTTGTCGCCAGAGATTGTGAGGATGGAGGAGGTCTCCAATTGATGATGAGGTATCTCTTTCTCTTTCTCTACGATGGAGGTCACAAACGGCGGTGACGGAGGTGAGAGGTGATCGACGCGATTGCAGATCTCTCTCTTTCTTGTCTTTCTATCGTAGACGACGATGAAAGAGAGGATAAGGAGTCGAAGAGACGGTGGCGGTTCTTATGGTGTAGTGGACGACAGAGACACGAAGCCAACGACGATGGTTCTGATGGCGGATGACTGGTGACGGATGAGAGAGAGTTTAGAGGGAGAGATGGTTGGGTTTAGAAAGAGAGAGCGAGAGGAAGAGAGAGATAGAGAGAGTGGTGTGTGGCGTCGTATATATGATATATATATGTAGGGGCATTTTGGTCATTTTGTCTCAATTTGTCCTTATAGATGAATGAAATAGCAGTTGGACCTTTGGGTAAGGAAAATTTAAAATTAAAATTTTCCCCCGAATGCCCTACAAATAAAAAGTAGAAACACAATTGTCAAACTCCACCTCACCTTCAATCACACTTTTCATCTTTGAATTGATACAATTTCCATAATTTATATATCATCTGGTGGTGGTAGTCGTTGGGGTGAGTACTAGGGTTACGTTTAGTGGAATTAAAATTTTATGATTACAAATATAATTAAAAAGTGGATAATTAATTAATTTTTTTTTTTGATGTGAATACTATTAATAACATCATGAATATATCCAAGCCTTGTTTAGTACTGTCACGACCCAAACCCGTCCCTATAGGTTTAGCATCGTAACCGGCCAGTAATCCTGGAATTACCGAAGGCCTCTGAGACAGATTAACATAATATTAGGGCCTAGCGGAAGCAAATAACAAATATACAACGTCCATTGAGCTGTGCAGACTTATATGAGACAAAAAAATTTTAAACTTTTTATATACATATATACACATCGTCCCTACGTCATAATATATATACAGATCAAACAAAAAGGACTTAGCCTCTTTTACAAAATACACAAGACTTGTTTAACCAAACAAGAAAACAGAACTAAAACTTTAAATCACATCGCAACAATCACTTGACATATTCGGAACCTCTACGGGAGGCACAATGGTTGGCTGACAAAAACAGAAATGAAGGCCGTCAACTCTGGACCTGATCACGTACCGGCTCACCTACATACATAATATAAACTGTGAGCGAAAGCTCAGTGACCAATAACAGAGTAAAGGGGTTTCAATGGATGAGTTCATACAAATTCATAAATCATAATTCAGTTTCATATCAAATTCATAATTTGTCCAGATCATATACAGACAGAAATCATAAGTCATGCGCAAGCATACGTGATACATCCATTAGCATTAATAGAACAGAATAGAACAGAACGTATACAGTTGAGGTTACGAATAACCAGTTCCATAAAGGAACCTCCGGATCCCGGCAACAGAACAGAACAGAACAGAAGCTGAGCCTCGTGACAGGGCCTCCAGTACGGGTAACAGAGTGCAGACAGAAATAAGTTCCATAAAAGAACCTCCGATATCGGGTAACAGCTAATAGATATCACATGATGCTAAGGATGTCACAAATACATATCAGAAATTGAACAAGCATTCATTGTACAGAATATATCATTTCGACAAATAGATCTTGTTTTATCACATAGAAAATAGATACAGTTGAACATAACTTTACTAAGTTATTACTCACAGATAGCTGCAGAAGAAAATCAGACAGACTGGACATATCAGATAAACCAGGCAGACAATGGCGCGTGACCTACACAAGCACATAACATAAACACATTGAAATACCTTCCTTGATCAAACTTGACTTTTCTAGTCTTTTTCTGTCTAAATAGTCCGAAGTTCTACTACGCTGATTCTTTCTCATTCAAATAAGCCAGGTTCTCATTTTACATATTCTTTCATTACTAAGCCCTTCTCTTCCAAATAGATTGTTCTTTTACTTGGCTTCTTAAACAATTACCACTAGATCAATGATTTATTCTTCAACTAACTAATCTATGTTGATTGGTAGCTTATTAATCTTTATTGAGTCATAAATCATGTCTAGAATGCCTTGGAAAGAGATGAGAATAAAAATGTGAACTAAATGCAATTTTCCAAAATATGCTGAAAATGGATCTCCGCTCGAGCGCCACTTTGGTCGCTCGAGCGGACTGTAAAATTTGAAAAACTTTTGGGAGCTCGATTTTTACGCTCGAGTGAGACTTTCCTCGCTCGAGCGGACAACGTAAATTCTGAAATTCCAAAATTGCAATTGAAGTTCAAATTTGGTATTCAAAGCCTCAAAACATGTACTTTTGGTACACAAAAACGGAGAACCGTTGGATAATTTAGCAAACACTCTCGATTAGAAATCATTTATTCAGAATCATGCTCCACTTGTCCAAATTTAGTTTTAACTCATTTTCTCCCCATCAAACCCACAAATTTTAAAACATGAATTAGACTCCCAAAACTCTTGCAAATTCATGATGCATGTGTGATTGAAACTCAATTTCATATAAGACAAATAAATTCAAACCTAAAATAGTTATTTTCAAATTAACTTCTATGATTTTGGATCTAATTCAATTTCTACACCATTTTACTAATTCCTTTTAATGTACATGAAATTGAAGTTATATGACTCTTAGGAAAGTATTTGCATGTATGACATTAAGATCAAAACTAATTAATTTTCTATATTCAAAATTAAATCAATGTTTAATTTTCCATAAACTCATACTCTTTAATTTGAATAAAACTTTTAAATTAAAATTAAACCAATTCCTATCTTTCATAGTAAAATCAAGAACTTGTCTAACTTTAGGATTAACTCCCAAATTTCCATAAACTTAATTTTTCTAATAAAAATTTATTCCTTCTTCTCTTCAAAAACATGAAATTGTTTACCTTAAATTCCTCAAAATCCATGATGCATGTATAAAACACTTATCAAATCCAACCAATTTTCCATTATCAAGCTCAATTTATAATTTGACTTCTTAATTTATATCACAAATTAATCTCAAGCTCATAAACTTTAAAATATGAATTAAATTATAAAATCTTGAAAATTTACAATGCATGTAATGATAAACTTCAAATATGTGAAGGATGAAGAAAATCAAACTCAAATATTTAATCACAACATCAAACCCCCAATAATTAATTTCTAATTTAATTTCCATAACCATCCACATGCATGTAACCCATTTCAATTTAATTTCCATAATCTTATACTTAAGCTAATTTTTCTTCATCTTCTTGCTATTGATTCCAATTTCGTCCTTAATTTCAAGTATAATGTAAAGATTCTACACATTTAACATAAATTCCATACCTTAGTTGAATCCCTTCTAATTCTCCTTGGGTTCCTTCCAAAAACTTGAGCCTTCCTTTAAATTTTCTTGGACTTTTCTTGCTTTTCTTCCTGGCCTTTCTTCCTTTAGTTAGATTTTCTTTCCTTCCTTTGTTCCCAGCAGTCTACACACACACAAACCCACACTCTCTCTCTCGGCTGTTCTTCCTCCCCCCTTTTTTTTTTTTCTCCTTCAAATGTTGTTTTGAGCCTAATGAAGCTATACACTTTCTTGAACTCATATATTAATATATTTATATAAATATTATCTGTTGCCTTCACCTTACACGCACACATCAAAACCAGATTTCTCAGTACACCCACCTAAATTTCTCAGTGCACCCACACCTGTAATTCTAGTTTATTCCATAAGGCAATTTATGCTTGGGATTAATTTTAATTAAGCAACACTTAGTCTTAATAAATCTGGGTTAGCACATAATTAATTAATCATAACTAATTACAAATCCCAAACAATTTAATTAGTTTAATTTGACTTCCATTAAGGCCCAATTAATTTTATTTAATTTTATCAATCCGAATCAGATTTTAATCAAACTCCCGAAAGGCTCCAAATTTCCTTCACTTAAGTTACATATTCAAATTGGACACCCCAAAAATAAATTTAATTCGTAATAATCCCAATTCTCAATCTTTATAATTTAATTAACTTAATTTTCTCCAATTTGGATCTAATTAACCGAATCTCAATTTTACTAAACTGAATCGAATATTTAATTAAACTCCCAAATGGGTCCGTCATTAAGATTAAATTGATTTAACTTCTCAATCTTACTTCCTTAAGCCATTTGGACCCTTAATTTCTAATTTCGAAATAACTTTTTAATAGAATCATATATGAATCAGATTCCACAATTCTTATAAATTCCAAATTAAATTATAATACTCGGCAATTAAATTCCAAATCTCCTTAATTAATCAAGTACTAATCATTATACATGATGGGGCCGTTAGAAGTACAGTGACTACCATCAATTTTTAATTAACTTTATTTTTTATATTGGTTAACTTTATAAGATGAGCGATTCAAATAATCAAAATTAACTTAATTTTTTATATGGGTTAACTTTATAAGATGAGCGATTCAAAAAATCAAAGTATCCGAGAGTGAATCCACAATAGGCAAATTATGGATTGCATTTTCTTGTACTACAAAGTTATAATATTTTTGAATTTGATTTTTTTTTTCAATGTTGTTTGGTTTAGAATTTTCAATTTTTTTAAAAAAATTTTAATACGTAATTTTTTTAGTGAATTTTTTAAATATGTTAATTGTTATTTTTTTTTTTATATTTTAAATTCACTTAATCTAGTTACACTTAAATGGTAAGTTTGATTATCAGGATTAATAGTGAGGGGATTAATAATCTATGAGATTAGTATAGGATTGATTATCTCACTTGTCCATGTTTGTCTTGTAATAAATATCAAAATATATAATTCCAATTATATGTATGTTTTGCATTATTAGTTGCATGATTAAAAAATTCATCAAATTTGTTGAATAGAGTGACTATTGAAATCTAATACGAATGGGCAAATTACATTGATGATCCTTGTAGTTTGAACCTTGTGTCACTTTGGTCCCTAACCTTTCAATTGTGATACATTTGACCCTATATTTTAAATTTCGTTTCACATAAGAATAATTGAAGACATTGTTACTTCATTTAAAGGGTAAAGTTATTAATTTGATAAAATATAAACTAGTTTGACAAAAATAAATATCAAAAAATTATTTTTGAATTTTTAAAATTTATTTTTACCCACCAAAGATAAAATTATATAAAAAAGATAAATCTTTTACATTTTTATTATTTTATCAAATTAATTTTTAGTATGTGTTTTGCTGATGATCATGTAATGGGTGATTGTTTTTATTGATATTTTTGGATGATTATCATGTAATAGATGTTTGTATTTGTTAAAAGATATTTTATGGTGGTTATCATATAATGGATGGTTATTAAGTTTTAATGTGTAATCGATAATATTTAATGTGAAATGTTTTACGACTTTGCCTTTGACATAGATCGTTTGTAAAGAAACTATTTTTGATTGTCTTAATTTGATACCACGCACATATTTTTGATTGTCTTTATTTGATACCATTTTTGATTGTCTTTATTTGTTTTCTAAGTGCTCGAAAGGGCTTGGCAAAGCACGTCTGTCAACAATTCACAAGGTACAGTGTCCTATTTGCATTCCCTGCTACTGTTATGATGGTTGCTTCTTCTGCCATTGGTTGTATGTGACCATATATGTATAATTTAAATATTATATATAGGTATTATGTGAATGAATAAACATGGCTCTGATACTATCTAAGTGCTCGAAAGGGCTAGGCAAAGCACGTCTGTCAACGATTTACAAGGTACAGTGTCCTATTTGCATTCCCTGCTACTGAACTACCCTAAACGCGACTTAGATGACGTCCCACATCTCCTAATTGCAATCTACCCTTATTTGGCACAAACCCAGGAATATAAATGCACATAATACAAGTATATAATAAACAAATTATGGCATATATGGTATCATGTTTTACTGTTGGGTGGAGGCCTAACAGTAGCCTCCTACACACAAATATGATCCTGTATTTGCTGTTGAATTCTACCTATTGTGTAGCCCAAGGTTGTAAATACTAATCGTGAAGAAATGTTAAATAATTATTACGACTTATATTATAAAATTCTAGAACATTTAATAAGTTAACAAGTAAATTTACGGAAGGCATACATTAAAGAGAGATACTTAGAATCACAATCTTCAAAATAGCTTAATTCTTCAACACTTAATCTATAAATTGGAGAAATGTTAACAATATGAAAGAGGGAGAGCTTACACCAATTATTATTTTTTTTTTTTAAAACTTAAACACACACTCTAAAAACTTTGCCTCAACAAGGGTGAGGTCCTTCCCTTTTATAATACATGAAACAGAAAAGATAAGAAAAGAAGATGACAGGTGGCGTGTCCTTGTGGAGTGGAGTCGATCGTCCTTATCCTCATGACTTAGCATCCTATCTACTTTGTCTGGTGATGGACAGCTGTCTAGACAATGATGTGGTATATTTGGATAGCAGACAGAGCATCTACTTTTGTAAAAGTTGTTGTACTGGTTTTGTCATTTTATGCCGATGATTGTGCTAGTGAGGGACAAAACCCATCATGTTTTGCCTTTACCTTTTTAATCTTTTTCTTTGTCGATTTTGTCGGCAATCATACTGGTGAGTGAATCCCAAAAATCACCAAAGTTGGGTTCATCATCTCCTCGTACTTGTGATTCGCCAGCTAATATAACAAATTCATTTTCATCCTGGTCAGGATCCTCATGGTCTTGACTACTGGTAACAGATTTCATGGAGGTATCATCCCCGGAAATAGTTTGGAGAAATTGTTCCTTCATAAAATCTATACTTTTAACAATTAATTCTGTTTCTGACAAATTAAGATATTTTTGTCGTAATTTTGTTTGGATTTGTAAAAATGGATTTTGAGTAACTGGTTGGCTAGGAATAGTTTTTGGAACAACATCCCAACATGCTTGAGAATGTGCCTTGATTTTCTGGACAGTTTTTGGTAGAGTAGGGTTCATACCCTTATCCCACCATCTCACAAAGAAGACCCTTTTGAGACGTGAGATCTTATTCTGATAATCACACAGAAAGTCCCATTTCCAAATCCATGGAATACCAAAACGAATTGTGACATGGACTAAGAATTTTGTTATAGAGATATCCTTATTTACTGGTAAATAGGAATATGCAACATGCCATTCATTATAGGCTTCCCTGATTGGTACTAGTAAAACTTCTAACTGTAATCCAAATTTATCCCACCAAACAAGGAACCAAGAAGGGACATCCTTTTTAATGACATCAAGTCAAATACAGATAAACCAAGAATGATTGTTAATGGGATTCTAGTAATAAAATGTTTGAGTAAATGCATCTATAGAGTCCCAATAACTATACCGGGTTTCTTTGTTACGAATATCAAGTTGTCGGGTAGTATGCAGGTGAATGCCCCATGTTGTGATGGGCATAATATTGCGGATAGTAATTTTACTATACTGGATATGACTGGCTGTTTTGGAGGGATCATGCAAAGTATGCTTGATCTCCGCAACAACAGTTTCAATGAGTATCTGTTCATAAACATATCTATACTGGTCAAAATGATGACGAAATTGCTGCGTGGTAAGATACCGACGCTTGATTTCCCATGGATCGGACACCTATTGTTTATCTGCTGGTTCAATATACAGGACAGCTTCCTCAGTAATATTGTTTGTTGTATACTGTTCTTCAGGCTTTAGGAGAATATCCTTAATCGTTTGACTGGATTCACCTTTACTGTTAGAGGCTTGGAGCCTCGAAAATTCTATTTGATAGGGATTGGATCCTAGACCACGACCTCGTCCTCCCTGGCCTCTACCGGTCATGATTTTGCTGGACCCTGTAAATATTCACGAGTGAGAAAATTTGGTAAGGAATTCTGTTCACCTTTAATATATTCAATATCAAAGTCAAATACTGATAAAATACTTTGCCATGTCGCGAATATCTATTTTGATGCAAGGTTTAAAACATCTTTTTTGAAAATCTGTTTAGTTGTAGAACAATCAACACGAATAAGAAAATTTTGATTGAGTAAATCATCCTGAAATTAAAACACATTTAACAATGGCTAAACATTTCTGTTTAATGGTTGGATAGTTTAAAGCAGGTCCTTTCCAACTACTAGATGTGAAACATAAAAGTTCTTCGGTTGATGTAGTAGGATTAAATTTTTTTAAAATGCCACCATAGCCCTGATTAGAGGCATCAGTTTCAATAATCTTTTTCCATACTGAATTAGGATGATGAAGGCAAGGAAGTTGCTTAATTTTAGCCTTAATTTTCTGTACTTCTTGGGTATGTATCTCAGACTAAGGAAGAGGATTTTTCTGTAGTCGGGTATAAATGATAGACGCATCATGGGATAACTGATGATACTAGTCACGACTATAATTTAAACTACCAAGAAATCTCTGTAATTGAGTTTTATTTTTGATTTCATCAGAAAATTTAGATGCAAACTCTACACTGCTGTTGATGGGTATAATATTTCCATTATAAATGTTATGACCCAAAAATCGTATTGTTTTCTGAAAAAGTTTCATTTTTGGTGCCGAAATAACTAAACCATTTCTGATAATAA